AAATTTCAGCAAGCAGTTTGGCGTACATTTTGCCTTGTTATTTTGACTTGTTGAATGGATTTGAGGCTCGGAAAGCCCCTTTTTACGAAAGAACACTGCATTTTAGATCTTGTTTATCAAAGGAAGATAAAAGCGAAATTTGAGGAAATCCGGAGGATGTCAAAGAATTTTATAAGCTATTTAACATCACAGAAGAAAACCTTTTTGTTTTTGTGTGTTGCCCTATAAAAGAACATTAATATAATCATTAACGGTTTCAAATAAAGTCCGCCAGGAACCGGAAAATCCGGTCTCCAGTCAATGAAAATTGGGTGGAGGCAAGTGTGGGGGATCGCATTGCTTTTCAGAAACAAGGAGTGAATTCAGCTTTCAACAGTTTTTGCAAAGTTTCGGCCCCTTTTTGTCCCCAAACACCCTAATAAACTTGCTTGACCGTATTCTGTTTTGCCATGCTTAGAATCAGGATTGAAAACAAATATATGTATATTTTACTGTGGAGATGGGCGCACACACAAGGGAATGTTGAATTTGAAGCAGGTGAGAAGACAGTTTTTGTATGTTGTAGTTTCCGCAAATGCGTAATTTAGAAATGACACGGACGGAAAATTATCAGTTTTCGCAACATCTTAGTATATATTCTGCCCCTTTATTATGCATTGACAATCTCAGAACGCGGCCTAAAAGTACTCGATCATAGCGACAAACGAATCAGTATAAAGACAAAAATGAATTCTTTCATCTTCAGTTGATATGATATTATCCATTTTTAGGAAAGTAAAAAGTTGTCAGCCAAATATATAATTAAAGCGGTTTTAATGGAAAACTTATAAGATAGTTTTTTTATTAAATTGATCCTGGGCATAGCAATTTCTAACGTTCGTTGTGGACGTTCACTTTACTCGGTAATGAGTTTTCATGTTTGGTTGCGTCTACAAATATGACCCAAGCGGCCATTCCCATTAAAACATACTACCAAAAACTCAATACTTCGGTAAATGCTCATTTTAAGGCTTTCATAAACACACAAAACAGAATCTGCATTTATGGGCAAAAACACTGAAAATCGTATTAATAAATATTTCAAGGACTATCCGAAACTCATCGTAATCCAATACCCGAAATATTTATAGAAAGGAAAGGAAGGTTCTCTTGATATACGAAAAATGGTACGTTTACAATT